TCTAACTTGCATTTCGGTACACCAGAGTTGGCAGAATTTTATTCGAAACTTTTTATCTAGATAATTAGTTTGCCCATATCTGGTACACACACATGCTTCTGCCCAATTGTTCCTTAAGTTTCATACTATAACCTCGACTAATCCTAAGCTACGATCACCGAGAGCACATTCGCGTCATATTTCTGATTAAAAAAAGACGGTACAGTTTCAATAATCGGTAAAATGTAAATTCTTCCGGATCGAACCGGATCGGTTCAGAAAGATCCAGTTTTGCTCGCACGAAGGGAACAATTAACTTCGCGTTATCCCTCGAACACTCTGAGATGGTCAAAGGAACACTCAAGACTGACGCCTGTTAAATTACACTTCTTCTAATTACCCCGTCGTCTCCTAGTCTTTCTTTCGACCACGATCGTAGCAAAGAGAAAGGGGGAGGGGAGACACGCGTGTTTATCCGGGGAGAGAAGACGGAACGTCAAAGAGGGATACAGTAGAAACGGCTATGTTTATATCCCCTAGAACGGCGACACGAGTCGTTAAAATGATCCCGTACATTGTAGATAAATTGACAAACGCGCGTGCAGCATGCTCAAGGGGCAACAGTTCTTGGCCGAACGCGAAGAACAAACAAGGCAGCATGCAAGGTGTGCTTCGTGACGCGTGTAGAGGCTCTCATGTACGATACGATTTGTCGTTGGGATATTTGCACAGAGAGTTCGACAGACGATTGGGACAACAGATTTTGGGTGCATATGAACCGATCCAAGTAGATACAAGTAAATAATTAATACTTTCTTTTCGACACCCAGTATCTTTGGTATCGATATGTACTCGATATCGAAAAAAAGCGCTCATATCGAATGCAGCGAGTAATCGATATGGATGTTCTCCAGTTACATTACTTTGTTAATAAATGTTGAATTAAATTAAATTAAATTAAATGTTCGTTAATGAAGTATATCTTCGTTAAAATCAGAAATGGGCAAATTCATTATCTAGATAATAAAATAATACTTCTTCCTGATTGAGTCTGCTCAACTCTGGTTAAAATATACCATATTAATAAAAAGGAAACATTTTTTTCGATGCAAGTTATGTGTAAAAGTATCGATATCTTGACGGTATCGGTTTATCCTTAGTTGTACGATCGGTTGTACGAGAAATCGTATCGTCTATGGGACGTTTTACGAGTCTATCGTTACACCAAGGTAACTATCGCGAGAAAAAAAAAAGTGATTACATTGTAGTATCTTTCCTCTTTCGTTTTTCCGTTTCACCTCGACATTATCGCGCGGAAGTTCGCGATCGTCGATTCAGGGCTGCGCAGAAGGTGGCAGTTTTCCGTGAGCGCGGTCACACGCACACACACTCAATGGAATTTCGTTAAAATCGAACGGAGAACCGTGGCGTGCCGATGCGATAGTCAAGCTCGTTTAACTTTGACCTGAGATAAAAATTAAAAATATTAGTATCAACAACGGGTGCATTTGTTCGTCTCGCAAAAAAAGCACCGTCGAATGCGTTTTAACATCGCGAACGATTTCCCAGCGCGCGTTTTCTCGTCGATCAATTTAAAGGATCCACTCCGTCAGCCGTTGGCTAGCGGAACCGTGGATCCTTCACGTGTTACGAACGAGAAAAAATAAAGTGTGATGTCACTTTCTTTTCCGGATGATGCCGAGTCGGCACGGGGAGAAAGTTCGCGAGGCGTTATTAAGTGCGTGAAGAAAGAAAAGAAATGAAAACAAGACACCACGGAACAATAATCGTTTTGTGGCGCCGAAAGTTTATCGCGGGTGGTGACACGTCACCGCGTGAATCTCCGCCGTGATTAGAGGGGATTGGAAACATTTTGACGCGTATAGTGCAACCAGCCATTATATTCCACGTCGAAACAAAGACCAACAAACAAAAAAAAAAAAGAGAAAATACTCGAAATCACACACACTCCGATGAACGAGAGAAGAACATGCTCCGAATGAGAAATAAATCGAGACCACCACCGCTTTCATCGAAAAAACCATTTATTTCAGCGAATAAATATTCTATGAATACTCTCTACCTAGGAAGTACACATTATATATATATATATAAGTATGCAGTATTCGCCGCCCTCGTTTGGATACTTGGGAGTACACAATTCCATTACGATTTTTTTTGTTTTTAATTATAGGTACACTGACAAACAAACGAAGAAATTAAAGAGAATCTGGCGAGGAGAGAAAGTAGTAGCAACAGTCGCAGAAACACAGAGAGAGAGAGAGAGAGAGAGAGAGAGAGGGAGTGAAGATAAAAAAAGAGAAGGGTAGGTGATGTGGTCGGGTAAGAAAAACAGAAACAAAAGAAGATACACAAGGAAGTGACAGTGGACTGGGAAAAGGAGAGGAGAGAGAGAGATGAGGACACCGATTTTTCAAGAAGATCGCCCTCTCTCTCTTTCTCACGCCTCTAACGGGGTTGCTCGCTGACGTAACAAACACTGCAACGATGCTTTTTCTACTCTCCTTCCACCGTGCGCATGAAAAAAAAACCGAGGGACAAATCTCGGGTGTCCCCGAGAGATGAAGCGAAATTTTAGCTACAAGGGTTAGGGTGTTTCGGAGAACTTGAAACTCGCGAAGAGGAGAAACAGAACGAAATAAAGAGAATCACAGGAAAACAGTTTCTATCCGTATTAAGGATTTACGAGAAGTTCCGACGTTGTCCCAGGATGCGCCTCCACGGGGACGTCAGCTGGGACCGCGCGCAGCACTCTCGCAGGTCGGCGTACTTTTTTTTTTTTTTAGAGCCAAGCAACTAGATATCACAACGATTACTACCATAATTTACCGGATCACATCGGACGCGGTCGAGATACACAACCGTCACAGAACCTCGTCCTTCCGGGTCGTCGTACCTGAATGACGAAAGGACACAAGTATCGGCCACGATATACATACACATTATAAATTATAATTGCCACTGATGCGCTCCATTCGACGTTCTAGCTACCGATAATACGCGTGGAAATCTCTCCTTCCCCGTAACGAGACACAAAGGACCGTGTTTTGGTCACGGCCAATGGCTGTACCACACTGGCCTGTAAAACTGTCTGAAAATTCTGCTCCATACCTACACCTGCGTCCATAGATGATATCAAGAACTCTCACGTGTGTGGGTACGTAGTACGTCGAGAGATCGAAAAAAAACTTACTCGAAGATGAGGGCAAATACGGTAAATTCTCGATAAATGCTCGGAAAGATCTCTACGTTAAATGCTTCTGCTTCATTCCCACTACCGGTTCTACAGTTTTCTTGACAAAATAGTGTCCCCTCTACGATAACTGTTCCGCAAGCAGTCTCGAGTTTGGAGCATTAATCGAAGATTTACTGTATCGAGAGTCCGTCGCCTGGTCGCAGTATGGAAAGCCACTAACCGTGCGTAATTCGATCGACTGTGACGATGATAGAGTTATTAACATCTGTTTCCGAGTGCGATCGGCCGGGTGTTACACAGGTTAGTATCTACAAACATACCTAAAGATATACATAATCGCGTTTCAGAAAAGAAAAATGGACGCATTTCTTCTATATTGCACGGGGGTGGGAACGGGGGTAACCGTGCCGTTCCGTACGGGAAAAGGTTTTTCGAACGAGAGGGAGAAAGATAAAGAAACAGAAGTTTGTAGAGGACGCGACAACAAAAACGACAGCCTAGTTATAACCATGTATATTTACACGAAACTCACACGCACACTCGTACAACGCGCTCGCACGCTTCGCTGAAAAAAAAAAAAAGAAACAGAGAAAAGTACGTATACACGTATGCATATGTGGAGAAAAAGAGTGTGATAGAGAGAGAAATGAGAATGAAAAAACATTGAAAAAACAACGATTTCACTGTACACCGAGATCTTTTGGCCAACACGTTTTCACCGATCAACGCGACGACTACACCGGAAACGAATCGTTTCTTCTATGATTGCATCTTTGTTTTCGTTCGTATTTAAAAAAATTTTTTTAATTTTTTCATTGAAAGGCATCGATGTGCATTTGGGGCGGGACGAACTGTAATGAAATATACTTACTCGGTTCGTTTGCGCGAAAAATCCGTGCAAATTCTATAATATATCCTCGACAAAGTCGGATTATCAAAAAGGTTCGTTTACCCGAAAGAGAGATAGAGAGATAGAGAGGAAGAGAGAAAGAGAGAGACAGAGAGAGAATGTTTTGCGTTTCTTTCGTTTTCATTTGTTCCGTTCCTTTTTTTCATTGCGTGTCCTTTTGTTTTTTCATTCGTTTGAAAAACTGCGCAACAAGCTATCGCGTATAAAAAATAATTCTTTCGCGGGGGGGTCGTTCTCTTAGATCAGGTGCAAACGCATCGACACCTTAAAAATAATACCGTGACTCTAGGAACTATCCGCCTTGCCGTGGACCATGTTGGGGACCACTTTTATTACATGTATCGAGGGTGCCCTGTTCTCGTGTCGGCATCTCGTACCAAGACCCATCATCTTCGCCGATCATCTTCCAGATCTCCGTGTGGTACCCTTCCCGATGGTTTTCCTTTTTATTTTTTTTTTCGTTTGCTTTCTCGTACAATTCATCCAGGCGAAAATGTTCGTGTTTTACTCCCCCTAACCCCACCCCCCAACCCCCCTCTGTCCTGTCCTCAAAGGGGAATTACGCGCGGCACCAAAACACACACACCCCAAAAACAAGGCACTTTCAGTCTATCGAAACGAGGAATCGTCGAGGAATCGAACAACGACGACGAAGACGTACTACGGACGACGATCCAACGTTCGTTCGCGATCGAAGATTTCTTGGGTAAATGGTAGAAAAAAAAAAAGTATAGAAAATTGAAATTAAACCGTCTCCACGATCGTCGCGCGGCGTCGCCAGTCACACACACAAGATCTCGATCAGACGACGTATCCTCGACATCCTCCTCCTTCTCGTCGTAGTCCTCGCCCGCAGGGCCGAATCCTCGTCGTCGAGCCGGAATCGGATGGTCACTATGTGCATCCGCATCTCTCGACGACCATACCCGGCAGCCGTGAGAACACGATCTGGTACTCGTTGTCGAAGTACAGTATCGTGATCTCGGAGAGTTTCCTCGGTGCGCAACACGGTCCGGTGTTGTTCGGCGGTAACGCCAGGCTGACGATGTGGGTGTTCGGATAGGCCTGGAGAAACGCCATCGGACAGTCGCCCGAACAGTAATTGGCGTCGTACCTGAGGCAACAGAAATCGTCCCAATGTCGATTAGACGTCGTCGACGGTCTCTGGTGTATCACCCTCCATCGGTAGAACCACGACGATCCAAATATAATTATCTCTCGAAACTTTTGGAATCGTATCATCGAAATTAATCGAGAAGAACCGATTACCAATACTCCGAATTGTCGTAGTTCTACATCGCTGGGTTCTTTAACCTTTCGCGCTCCAACTACCAGTGTAACTTGGATAGCAAGTACAGGGCGATCTACTCTAACTACCAACTCTACTGTCAACATATATTATCTTCTTTTATTTTACCTAAAAATCCCTAGAGTAGACTACCAATAGGCGTAAAAAATGCAAGGAGCGCAAAGGGTTAAAATTCAGGTGGAAAAATAAATTCTGGTAACGAAGGTCAAGCGTTTCACGAAGACCGAGGCAAAAAGGGGTATCACTTCCCCACCCAGTCCCAATAATAGCAGACGTTTAACGCAGTACAAGTTCCGCGAAAAAGCTCGCAGAACAGCCAGAGAGCCCGTGGCGTGACTAAAATCACCGGTGTTGGAAGGTTCTTCGCGCGAAAATCCGGTATCCGCGAGCGTGTCCCGATTTCGAAGACCGAGCAGAGAAAGAGAAAGAAGAAGACCTCGAGAGGACGACTTCTAGGTATAGGATGTATGTATGTATATATACTTACTTTTTGGGCGCGATTATCCAGTCCCAGCCGAACTTCTCGAAGTCGACGGTGAGCTTGTATCGACAGCACCTGGTCTCCTGGCTGGCCTCGTCGCAATTAAGTCCTATGTTTCTTTTGATCCTCGCCCCTCGACGGGAGTCGAGCTCTTGCGTCTGAACCTCGAGATACGGCGCGTACTCCGCCCCAGGATTGGTCTCGACTAACTTAGAATTCCTACGGTGATTGCCGCCGGGGCCAGAGATCTTTAGGGCTACGCCAAGATTGTCCCGTGGATGTTTGAACCATTCGGCGACCATTCGTCTTAGCTCGATCGTCACCCAATTACCGCTACGACCGACAGGTCGTGGGTGTTTAGTGGTCAACGTTGGTCCTAGCAACGGGCCACCGGACTCCGTTGCGCCGCGTAAGATCCTCTGCAACGTGATCGTCACAGGACCACCGCCGTCTTCGTGAGTCTCCGAATCGGCGGCGGACTTCTCGAGTTCGCCGGTCTCCTGGCCACCGGTACCCCATATCCACAGGGATAGCTCCGCTCTGGTCACGCGATGCTGGACCACCTTGTCGGAGAATTTGAAGTAGAGAACGTCCAGGCTGCCCTTGGAATGCCTTAGCCTCTGATCTGGAACCGAAACGTCGAGGAAATCGGTAAAACTGATGTTGGCGAAAACGGTGGAAACAAGGGGGGGGGGGAGGAGATGTTAGACTTAACTCTCTTCTTTCGGAGCACTGAACCGAGTAATGCTCCGATATACGTCTGTCAATTAGTTTCCTATAATTGTTTCTTCCTCGAATGAATCGTCGAGGAAGTTTCATACGAAACAGAAAACATTCGGAATGGAAAACGACCATGGTAAATGTTCAGAGAAATACGATTCGCGTAAGTAAGATGGAAGAATACACGATGGTACCGACGGTTTTATATATATATATATATATATACGCGAAGACGATGAAAGGATCCGTCCTACTCCGGAGACATCATGCGGACAAGATCTCTGTTCGGATCGATCGAACGATCGGTATATACCGCGGCGGCGGCGGCATCCTCGTGCTCTCCGCGATTGGCAATAAATCAAGAACAACCGGGAGAGGAAGAGTGGCCGTCGAGTTTCTTGCTGGCCACACGAGAGAACCACCAAGAATTCTCTCTGCCTTTTGCACACGCACGTGCGTCCGACATTTACCCCGACGACGACGACGAGGACGACGAAGAAGACGACGATGAGGGCTACCGTTCGATCCGACCTACGTCGTCGTCATCGTGATCCACGATCATCGGCATGGGAACGGACGGGAGTAGAGGGGGTTCGGGGGGGGGGGAAGAACAGGAGAGAAGGAAAAACACTGAAGCAGATTTATATACGCGTAGCGAAGCGCGTTAGCCCCGCAAACCGACTCTATTCAGGTCATCGCTCGCCTGAGACCGCTTCCATGAAGGGTAAAGCCACCTGAAATCGTACCGTTACGCGAACTACTACGTTTTTCCTTGGATCGATCAATCAGCGGCCACCAAGCTCACCCAACAACGATCGATGGGGAATCGCGCGGGGTCGACCCCTTCTAAACAGACTCTTCTCCGCTTCGTCCCGGTATTCGACTGGATCCAACCGGCTTCTCTGAACTCGACCGCACAGTCTCCCGTCTTTTCCAGAAACGAAATGTCACCCTTTTTTTTTCTCTCCTCCCTCCCCGTTCTACCCAGCCCGCGGCGACTTTTCGCGGAGCATCGAGAACTCTACCGCCGATAAGAGAACGGGAGGAGAATTTACGGAGGTGGAACACCGTCGTCGACGCGGGTAGCTGTTACCTGGATTCCACGATCTACCAAATTTCAGGCCTGTTTAATCAGTCGTTAATCTATCTCGACATTAAGGGGTGGGTTTAACGGAAAATGTATACCTGTCACTTGTAATTCCAAGTATGTATACCGGGTGACGCAAAAAAAAGGGTTCATCGCTTCTGGGGTAGATGATACTTGGAAAATGATGAAGAATCACCTGAAAAACATGGGTCAAGAAAATTTTCTCGCTTCTACGAAAGAAAACTGCTAAAGATTGTAGAAAATCTTCTGTAACCAGGAAAAGAAGAAATGATAAGGTAATCCATTGTTTCCGTACGGTACGATTGCTCCCGAAGCGAGAAAGTCAGTCGCTATAACCGAAACAAAAAATTGTTTATAACCTTGAAAATATGAACATTTCAATCCACGTTTATTAGGACTATTTTTCATTATTTGGCAAGTACTATTCACCCCAGAAATCACGAACCTTTTATTTGTTTCGCCCTGTATAAATATCGACCCTTAATGGTTCAGTTAAATAACAGACGCAACATTAATTAATTATCCAGGATCGTCGGGTGGAACGGCTCGTTTAATTATTACCATGCTCGAATATCACGTTGTTCGAGCTCGAGGTATCATCCTAGGTGTAGTTATCACTGTCGCTGTCACACTCCCTAACATCGTGCACACGTCTTATTTCCAGAGACGTCTATCGAGATAATTAGCTATCGGAGGCACACCCTCCCTCTACCTACTCCGCCATTCGGATACCTCGCGATCCCAGGCGTTAGGAGCCACGTCATGGAAACGGGCAATTAACCAGCCCAGGAGATCCGTCAGTATCCCTCCCTCCAACAAGCTTAAATCACTTTATCGCGCGGTAATTGCGTTAATTCCCGGGACACCAGCGGCTCCGATCGTTTTCTTTTACGCTCCATCGGCGAGACGTCTTGTTTTTGCCCGAAAATTTCCCCGAGGAACGGGGCCGTTAATCAAATTTTACAGACTCGTCTCGAGTATTTGGGTAATGAATTTAAAGATGGGAGAGAGAAACTTAATCGAATCAACCGTCTCGCGCCTCGATTCGCCTTCGCGCGTTCTCTGGACTTCGCCGCGATTTTCCGTCATTATCGAAGCGGTGACACTGATCCTCCTCCGTTATCGGGGAAACGTGGAACGTCTTTGAAACGCGACTCGTTCGTGGATGATAACGCGATGACGACGACGACGACGACGATGGAAAGGAACGAAGAGCGCGAGAGTATGAGTCACGGTCGCGTCAAAAAACAAGGAATGGAAAGGGCGTATAGACACGGCGAGACAGAAAGATGGGAATTTTATTTTCGTCGAGACGCGGCTACCGACCGTCTGGCCGCGAGATCTTTCAGACTACATTTAACCCCGCGGGGTTCGGGAAACCACTCTGGAGTCTGCGTTTGGCAGAGTTGAATAAAAAAAAGACGTTGATGTCGCACAGTGGTCCTCCAGAATCGAAATTTAGATGCTCGATAGTACACTCGAGCGGTCGAACATTTAGAAACTTTTAATTTAATTGGGGGATCCTCTATGATGACATAATCGTTCACTAAACAGCATGTTCTTCATGAAAGTATGGAATTTATAGGAATTTTTTCGTCGATTTTTCACTGAAATTGATGATACCGAAAGAATAGGAGGAGAACAATAACGCATGGGACAAATTTTCCCCATACTTGGTTATGGACACTAGGATTAATAATGACTCGAAATGCGAGTGTTCTGAATAATACAAGAAATTTATTCTTCACTAATCGGGCTACTAGATTTTGATGTTGTGTGGCGAGGCGAGACTTGGGCGGGAGGGGTAAATCGTAGCAGCTAGCGACGCGAAATATCGTTGCAATAACGACGGATTATCAGGACGGAATGCAAAGTGCTACGGTGATTCACGAATCATCTCTCTTCTCTACCCGTCGTCGTAGCTTTGTTCCCAGAATTCGTGGAAGACGCGTGGATGGTTCCCCAGAGCGGGGTGAGCTTCTTAACCCGCTGCGACACGAGAAACACACGTGGCGGGAACGGCGAGAACGCGCGCGTGGATTTTAAATCCGGTGACGAGAGCGCAGACACAAATAAATTCGTAGAGTGAGCGCGACAGAGGAAGGAAAGGGGCCGGACAACACGTACGAAAAAGAGATGAAAGAAAAAAAAAAGAAAAACAAAAGCGCCTTCCCTTCTCTCGGGGATAGGACAGATCGAGGGAGAGAGACAATAAAGCTAAAGCACACTAAGTACATCGCGTCGCGTTCGCCGCGTAGAGATAAATATAGTTTTAGCGAACGGAGGTCACTCGCATCGCCTCGGCCACGCTGTAGCAAAACGTTTTCTCACAGGTTCTCACCCGCCTATGATTTATATCGATCGTGCGAATACACCTTTGCCGTTTGGTATCCTCCGAAAGCTCGAAAAATGTCCACGGTTTCGATGGCGAAGCTCTTGTTTGATGAATACAGGAGAGGGGGAGGCGTTATTTAAAAAGAATGCAAGCAACTTTGTTTAAACGACGAAAGTGATTTATTAACCCCCGCTGTACTATACCAGGAACCGTTCGGACTCAGACGCAAGAGACGATGTACATACAGGGTGCGGCCGAATAATATGTACAAGCGGGTACAAGGTGATTCCTTATGAGAAATAAGAACAAAATGTGGAATAAAATTTTGTCATTTAAGGCTTAGTTTTCCAGAAAATCGACTTCGAAAATTAATCTGAAACACGTGTATTCGCCATAGTAGTAAGTAGAAACGGAATGCAATGAACAGACACGCTAGCCCAGTCCTATTCAATTGCCCCCGGTATCCAGCAGATTTTCAAAATCGATTGACAAAAAAAATGGTAATCGACGAAGAATATGTCACAGATTTTTTAAGAGATTATTGAAAATGGACACTGGCTTGCTCCCCTACCGACCGAATAAAGTCCGGTGTGTAAGGGTTGACGTGAAAATCGCCACAGCGCCGCACACGGGTTTCATTCGCGAGTAATAAAAGGGAAAGCCCGAGAGGAGTGGTTGCATGCGAGTGGAAATCATGGAAAACAACGGTGATACCGCGGTGTCGTGGCCCTGCCTATAAATAAATGAAGAAATAATTGATACGGGACGGACGCATAAGGCTGTCCCCCACACGTCTCCCGTACCCCCCTCGGTTGCACTTTTCGCCGCTATCATCCCGGTGGTTCTTTCACTCGTTCGCCGCCGACAACCGTCCGCTTCTAAGGGCGACGACGTTTAAAAATATCGCGCGCGACGAATCGTCCACCAGCGGCGCATGAATCTCCGCGCGCGACTAAACGCCGTGTCGTCTGACCCGTCGAAATTTAATACCAAAAACCAGGTACGCTCTATCTATTTCCCTATCTCTTCTATAACCATTTAACGAATCTAATGGCGGCGGCTGCTACGATTCTCGATCTTGTAAACGGTGAACTGGGGAATAAATTTCTTTTTTTTTTTTAACGACACCTGAGACGTAAATAGAACTAAGCACTAATGGACACAACATTCTGAACGTCGTTTTAATTAAGGTAGATCTATTTTCTTAATTGTTCGTTAGTTTAGATGGGTGACAAAAGATTCGGTAGAATCATCTTACAGCTCTTCTTGAATCACGTTCACTGGTCAACAAAAAATTCGATCGAACATCCAGCAATAGAATAATCTAAGCTGATCACTTTTCCTGGTCCACTCTATATATACTATCGAGTGATAGACGAGTACGAAACGGACCCAATTCGAGTCCCCCAGAAGCGTCGACTATCCAAGGGTTAAACGATACAGGAACCAGTCTCATTTTCAA